ACCTAGCACAGCGTTTCGTGGCCCCAAAAGGAGCCCCACCGATGGCCCCAGCGGTACCGCCCGCATGCGTCAGCCGCCACCCGATCCAACGGTCCGTGGTCCTGTAGGGAGCTCCACCGATGGTCCCAGTGGCACCGCCCGCATGCGTCAGCCAACAGCGTTTCGTGGCCCCGTAGGGGGGGCTCCACCGAAGGCCCAAGTGGCACCGCGCGCATGCGTCAGCCACCACCCAGTAGAGCGTTCCGTGGTCCCACAGGGAACTCCAGGGCAGCCCCCAGTGGGACCGCGCGCATGCGTCAACCACCACCCAATACAGCGCTTCGTGGCCCCATAGGGGGCTCCACCGACAGCCCCACTGACACCGCCCACATGCGTCAGCCAGCCACCACCCAGTACAACGTTTCGTGGTACCACAGGGAGCTCCACCGCAGCCCCCAGTGGGACCGCCTGTATGCGTCAGCCACCACCCAATACAGCGTTTCGTGGCCCCTCCAGGAGCTCCACCGACGGCCCCAGTGGTACCGCCCGCATGCGTCAGCCACCACCCGATCCAACGGTCCGTGGTCCTGTAGGGAGCTCCACCGATGGTCCCAGTGGCACCGCCCGCATGCGTCAGCCAACAGTGTTTCGTGGCCCCATAGGGGGCTCTGCCGAAGGCCCCAGTGGCACCGCCCGCATGCGTCAGCCACCACCCAATACAGCGTTTCGTAGTCCCACAGGGAGCTCCACCGCAGGTCCCAGTGGCACCGCCCGCATGCGTCAGCCGCCACCCAGCGCAACGCCTCGTGGCCCCATAGGAGGCTCCACCGAAGGCCCCAGTGGCACCGCCCGCATGCGTCAGCCACCACCCAGTACAACGTTTCGTGGCCCTATAGGAAGCTCCACCGCAGGTCCCAAGTGGGTCCGCCCGCATGCGTCAGCCACCATCCAGTACAGCGTTCTGTGGCCCCATAAGGAGCTCCACCAAAGCCCCCAATGGCACCGGCCGCATGCGTCGGCCACCACCCAACACAGCGTTTCGCGGCCCCATCGGGAGCTCTACCGACGGCCCCAGTGGCACCGCCCGCATGCGTTTCCCCCAACCAATACAGCGTTTCGTGACCTCATCGGGAGCTCCAGCGAGGGGCACCGCCCGCATGCGTCAGCCACCACCCCGTACAGCGTTTCGTGGCCCCATGGGGAGCTCCACCGAAGGCCCCAGAGGCACCGCCCGCGTGCGTCTCCCCCACCCATTAGGGCACGTCCCTCACGCGTCTCGTGGCCCCTTAGGGAGCTCCACCGAAAGCGGCACCCACAACGCTTTGCTCACAACTGCATATGGTTGGGTCCTTCGCCAGGATAATTTGGACGCTCATTCTAGCACTTACCACCTCGGCTTGGTAGCCTTTAGTGGCCTTCAGCGGCCTTTACTGTATGGTCAGCGGCCTGCAAAAACCTTTTGTCGCAGTCGCCTTGGAGCAGCCTTTAGAAGCCTTTTGCAACATTAAACTGCCTTCGGTGGCCTTCAGGAGCCTCTACAACAAATGAAAGGAAGTCATTATGCATGTAAACAAGTTCCATAATGACCCACTTAACCTGCCAATCCCCCTATCCGCTCCCTCCTAGAGGTACAAACAACCGCATACGTTAGCCAGCGTGGAGCCCAAGCAGTGAGCTTTTGCACGGTGGAGGTTAAAACTATGCGGTGCAAGCTGTGTGGTGTAAGTTTTGTGGTGTGAGCTGGCAGGTGAACATTACGTGGTTCAGACTAGGCAGTGTAAGCTTTGTGGCGTGAGCTATACGGTCTATGCTATCTGGTGTAAGATAGTTTGGGCAAGTCATGGTGTACAAGCTATGTGGTGTGAGCTATGGTGAATAAGCTATGTGGTGTTGGCTATGCGGTGTAAGCTATGTGGTGTGAGCTATGTGGTGTAAGCTAGGTTGTGTCAGCTGTGCTGTGTACGATGCGCCAACGAGGTGCCCACGAGCGGGAGCGTGGCGAACCTTGGCAAACCGAGCCAACTGACGGGGCGCCCACGTAGCGAACACGAGTGCGAACATGAAAAAAACGGAAACGCACCCAGAGCACGAGGCACCGACGAGGCCTCCACGAGCGGGAACATGGCGAAACCTCGGGACACCCACCCAGCGCACGGGGCACAGACGAGGCCTCCACAAGCGGGAACGTAACAAAACCTCGAGAAACCAACCCAAGGCACGGGGCGCCCACGAAGCGCCCACGAGATGGAACGTGGCGAACATCTGGGGAAACCGACCCAATCGCTTGAAACATAAGTAAGAAACTCCAAGTGCGAGCACCATTTGGCGAATAAAAAACAACTTTCGAAGGTCCGCCCTGATTTCCTGGATCGGCGCTGGACCCCCTGGGCGCGAGGAGGGGGGTCCAGCGCCAATCCAAGATATCCGAGCTCACCTTCGAACATACATGCTCATGCATCCTAACGATCCCCCCCCCTCCTCGTTCCCACCTGTGCCCCGCTCCTCCACACTCCCTCCTGGGGGGCGAGCTTGCACTCAGTTGCCACTGGCCACTGGCCTGTGGGCACAGCTTCGCACAAGGTCTTACTGATCCCCATCCTCCTTCTCCTGATCGCCGTCCTCTTCCTGGCTGGTTCTTCTGACGAAAACAGGCCCCCGACGTTGTGGCGCTTTCCACAACGTGGGCCGCGGAGCCTTTTGTAGCGGGTCGTCCTCCGTGCCCAGGACCCTGGCACATCCCCTGCAAGTAAAAACTTTGAGGAACAGCGACATTTGTGATGTGGTTCGTGACGCTCCCCCGTCCCGAGCGCGCACGCGCGTGTCGCGAGGTGGGCTGCCTTCTAAGACGCAGAAGCCCTCCCCAGCTGCTGAGCAGCCTCTTCAGAAGCCTCCAGGCCCTGAGAGGCCACTGCCTTCTGGGAAGCACCCGCCTTGTGAGAAGGGCACCCCCTCGCGCCACCCCTTTCTCTGCGCGCCTCCCCTGACATGGCTCATCCTGGGCACCGGACCGATGCATATGCCTCCCTGGCCAGGCCAGGAGGGCTTCTGCTCCGAGCCCGGGCCTGGGATGGGCCTGCCGAGGGGCGCTGTGCAGTATGTGTGTAGGCCTCGTCCAGCAAAGAGCACCCACCCTATCTCGGGGGCGTCCAGAAGGGGGCGTCCAAGAGGGGGGGGGGGGGGGGCAATCATGGCCCGAGGCATGTGCGCGGACCAGGGGGGCCCAGGGAACGCATTTAAATTAAAAGAGGCGCCAAAAAATCTCGGGAGATCTCATGGCCCTGGCCATGATATCCCCCCCCCCACCTTGGTCATCCCCCCCCTCTTGGCCGCCCCCGACTACGGTCGGGGCGCTGAAGAAGGAACCATTTTCGTTGGGGAGGAGCTCCGTGTTCCTGAACTGTTTCACAGGTTGCTTCAGGTTGTCCTTGGGTTTTCGATGGGGAATCGAAGCTTAACCCATGGAACGAAAGAAGCCCCTGCCCTTCTCCAGGGCTCCTGAGGTCAACGCCCCGACTGCATGTCGACAACGCGCAGGCGCCCGCGCCCACACCCGGCCAGGCAGGGCGCACGCCCCCTCGAGAGCGCCGCGCCGCTCGCCCCACGGTGCGTCACAGGTTCGGGTGGGAGCAGAAGGACGACCTGGCTGGGGCGCTTTGAGCGACGCAGAGAAGCGGGTCTCACCCGAAAACGGAGGGCAGAACATCCACCCATGAAATAACCACCCCGACACGCGAAGTCGTTTAGACAACGCGCCCAAAGAAGGAATCAAGCAGGGCAAGGCTGTTTAGTAAACGCCCAGGGCCGTTTACTAAACGCCAATTGTCCGGTCCGGGTGGCTTCGCCCCCCTTGACAACTGAACGACGCAACGAAACGGGTCTCACCCGAGAAGACGGACCGACCTGACGCCGCGGCTCACGCGGGCCACCAGCGCGGCACGCCGTGTGGAGAAGGGGGCGCCTGCGGGCGACCTTGCGCGGGCAGCTTCCGCGCGGATGCCCACAAAGTCGACCCCTCTTCCTGCCGTCGCTCAATTCGAATCTGAGAGAAGCGAGCAAGGGGATCAGGGGTTGAGGTTTTGGGACGGGTGAGGGCCTCTGCTGGGTCCTCTTGAATGCTGGGAAGCCCAGGAATGACTGTTCATGGTGGCGAAGTTTAAAAATTTGATCGAGGCCGTAGTCACAAGGGGATCAACGCGTGCACTTTCGAATGGTTCATGTGGCATGGTTGCATACGAATGCCTTGAAACCTCACGAAATGTTCAGTCCCCGTTGGCGCCTTGCATTGTCGTCTGGGATGGGGTGGCATTCAACAAATTAATGTACGTAGTCCCGAGCAGATGCGGATACGAGTGAGGGGGCACCAGAGCTAGGGCGCACAGTAGTGCTCCCCAAAGCCAATGCGAAGCATCCCGCCGCAGGCTCATTGCTTTTGAAAGCAATGTGGTTGGTTCGGCCTGCCGCATGCGCCGATCTGGTTCGAGCAATGTCGCGGGTGGAGCACGGCGCGGGTGAATCGCGGCACGGGTGGGTCGCGGATGGGGCGCGGATGGGGCGCGGCGCGGGTGGGTCGCGAGAGGTTCGCGGGTACATCGCGGGCGGGGCGCTGGCGGGGCGCGGGGCCCAACGGGGGGCCACAACAACAAGAACAATTCGCATCGCGGAGCCCCAATTCGGCCCCGCACTCAGGGACAGTGTAAGACCGATCGGCCCCCATAGCACATGTCCATCGGGAAGGCCAGGCGGCAAGAGGGGGCAAGAGGGGGTCCACCATTGACGAAAAAGCTGGCCAAACTCATCGTGCATTTCCCACCGTCCACGTCAACGGAAACAGATAGCATGTAGACAGAGGGCACACTCAAAGAGACAGAGACCGCAGAGGTATAAAAAGAGCGAGGGAGAAAGAGAGAGAGAGAGAGAGAGCGAGAGACGGAGAGCTTGAGACACATTCAGAGGCAGAGGAAGCGGGGACAGCGAGAGAGAGAGAGAGAGTGGATGAAAGAGAGGGAGGGAGACAGAGAGCGAGAGAGGAAGGTGTGTGTGTGAGCCTCAATTGAATAACCCAGTGTTTGCATGCGATCCTGGGTGAATAGAGCGCGATTCGCCCCGAATTTTGACGAGGAATGACCCAAACTCCTCCCTCGAATCTCATCCTTTCATTCCTCTTCACATCCCTTCCACAATGGAACAAACAACTGCATACGCAGAAACTTTTGGAGGTCCGCGTGGATTTCTGCGATCGGCGCCAGGCACACCATCGCGCCAGGGGGGCGTCGGACCGCCGCCAGGGGGTGACAAGGAAGATCCAAGACACCCAAGCAATGATACGCTCATGCCGTCCGTCCTTGTACGACGCCACCATCTCACAGCCTATCTTGGACGAGAATGGTGGCATGATGTGACTGGCTCAGGATATGTTCCAGGAAATATAACGTATCTCGCGGCCCTCGTTTCTGCAGCTCGTGTGGAATCTCAAGGGATCCTGGAAATCAGGGGAATCATTGAACATATCATTAGCATGGCGTCTGGCTCCTCTGACAATCTCCCTCCTCCCCTCACTGTCCCCATTTTCCCCCCACATTCCCCCCTCCGACGGGGGACCCCGTATCTGCTACGTGCGCTCCAAGCATTCCTGGTTGCAGACGGAGGCTTGCTCGGGTGGATTCTTTAGGCAATCTCGTTTGCGGGTGATCGGTCGCCGATGCCTTCGTTGAGTCTCAGGTTAACGGTGAACTCCGGCATTTCTCTGGATAGCATTCCCCTTGTGTCACGTGTTGGATGATTTCGGCTTGGAGGAAGCTCGAAGTCCTTCCACCTCCCCTCCCATTCATTGTCCATCCCCCGCTCCCACGCCCACTGGTCGCATCTCTCGGTTCCCCGCCCCAAACCGCTTCAACCCCTCCACATGCCCGCAACCGCCGGGTCCTCACGCGCTGCACAGTCCCTCCCCGAGCTTTTCCGGCCCAGCCCCTCGGGAGGAGAGAACGACGGGGAGAGAGGACGAGAGGGACGAAGAGGGGAGAGGAGGATGGGGGAGGACGAAGGTGACGACGACGGCATGAGTCAACCAGAAAGTCCTTCTCGAATCGTTCGCTCTGGAGCCCTGTAGGGGGCCCCTTGGATCAATACTGGGGACCTCGTGGGGCCGTTCGGGGAATGTCTGGAAGATGAACATCGTTTTGCCTCTCTTCCCAGAAGACGCAAACCGATGACGCAGGCATGCAAGCCCCAAAGATTGTCTCGTGCCGCGCACGGCTGAGCAAAGCGAAGCAAGAGACGGAGCGAAAGTCGTCGACCACGACATCGGATAGAACAAAGAAGACGCTGACTATGATCAGGCAACCTCCTCGAAAGGTCAAACCGATCAGGGTGACTCACATGAACTGGTGATGCTGGCGACAGTGATGATTCGTCTCTATGAGGTTCCAGCTCACGGGAGCCTCTCGGTCCGAACGTTCGTGGCGAAAGGCATTGATGCTGATTATGACGACGATGATGCCGATGGTGATGACGATGAGGAAACCTAACCGACTGCCCGTCATATAAGTACCCGGGAGATAATAAAGATCGGGGTCTTGGGGGATGATAAACGATTTCCCGGCGGATGCTGATGGTGATGATGATGACGATGCGCGTTGCACTTTGCACCGTGCCCTCAAGGTCTCCCCTGCGCCTGGGGCGGCACGTCAAGCCGCTGAAAGAAACGTTATGCAAAAGCGCCTCGCGTGAGGCACGAGAAGATTGGGGTCAGCGCAGCTGGCGTGCGATCTGGCGCACGCGGGCGAGACAATATTATACCTTGCTGCACTGGTCAGCATCCACGAGCCAACCGGAACCGAGTAGTCGGGCGAGGTCCATATCCCATCGCCAGGCCTTGAATATGTGGCCATGGGTCTGGGATCCGCGCTCGCGTTTCAAAATCTGGAGCCAGGCCACGCCGCGCCACTGTAGCATATGGACGGGCACAATCTGGGCAGGCGTGGCGTCTGGCAGGGCAGCCTGGCGGGCTAGGTGTCCAGCCCAGGGAAGCCTGAGAAGATGCGCGTCTATGTCCCATGTCGTGTGGAACAAGAGAGCGGAAGAGACGCGGCGCCACCGTCGGCCTCAGAAATCCTCTGGCGTCCCCTCCTTCCATCTCTGCGTGCAAACCAGCTAAGAGAACATGTTGCGGTGCGTGTCTCGAATTAGACTCAGATCCTTGGCCGCGGGGCACCGCGATCCCGCCCCATAGGGCAAGACAGGCTCGATGGCTCGCCCGAGCAGCTTCGCGGCCTGCTGCCGGCAGCAGGCGCGCCCAGGTAGAGACATCGTGCGAGCGTAAAAGGCTCTACAGGCGCGGGCTACCCTGTGCTGCGTGTCCTTCCAAGACCTTCCATCGAAGGTGAACGCAGAGCCGAGGCAGGGGGCGCCCTCGGCACGAGGCGTGCGCGCCGGGGCGCCATCCTCGACCCTCATCTGGTAGTCGCCAAACTCGTGGTCCAGCGCCGTCGTGCCCCAGGTCAGACCCGAAGGATAGACGCACCAGCCGCGCGTCGCAGGATGCGCCGCCAAGCCGTCGCCATCTGGCGCAGCGACTCGGCCGTGCCCGCAAACAGCCAGAAGTTGTCGGCGTAGAGAAGTCCCGCCTCGTGCAGCGTCGCCTCGCCTGGGAACTCGTAGCTCCAGCCGCGTGTCCAGCATTCGCCCAGGAACTCCTTCCAGACATCCTCCAGCACTAGATTGAAGAGGATCGCGCTGGCTGGGCCCCCCTGTCGAACGCCGCGAGTCCGAGGTTCTGGTTGCGTCTGGATGGAGCCCACCTTGATCACCGCCGAGGCCTTCAACTCCCTCATGATGGCTAGGATGACGGGCCTCGGCACAGCCCTTCTTCTCAGTGTCTCCTCGACCGAGCGGTGCGAGACGCGGTCGAAGGCGACGTCTGCATCGCCGTCCACGATGAAGGTGGAGCGGCTCCACTCGCGGGCCTTCTCCGTCAGCACGCGCATGCTGAAGATCGCGCCCATCGCTTGGTGGCGCCTCCGATAGGCGTACTGTGGGCTCCGCAGGGTCAGCTTGTTGGCGCATTTCTTGATCAGGCCAACCGAGCATAGCTTCTCGAAGGTAGTCGGGGGCGCGATCGGTCGGCACCCCTTGAGCGCGTGCTGTCTCCCTTCTTCTTCATGAGCTGGATGATGTGCTTCGACCAGGCTTGGTCCCCGGCATGCTCGGGCACCCCGCGGAAGCGGTTCTCGAAGACGGCCGCGAGCGAGGCGAAGAAGCCCGCGCCGAGGGCCAGCAGGACCTCGGCGACCACCCCGCCCACACCAGGAGCCTTCATGGGCTTCATGTCGCACGGAGCCTCGCGGAGCATCTCGGGCGAGAAACCCGGGACATCGAGGACATCCTCCGTCGTGAAGCGGGCGGGGTAGACAGAGACCCCGACAGGCCCCCCCCGTCGCTGGCCCTGAAAGCGTCGCCGCACTCGCGCTCCAGGAGCCCCTTGATCCCCAGCGGGTCATCCTCGAGCTCCCCCGCGTTCATCGGCTGGTTGTGGATCGGGCCATGCCGAGCTCGGCGAGGCGCTCGTGCTCGGGGATCGCCCTGGGCTGCTCGCTCGTGCTTCGCAGTCCAGATCTCCCTGCAAATCCTGATGACATCCTTGCTGTAGATCGCGCGCTGCACGCCGTCGCGGGTAACCCGCCGGCGGGCCTCTAACACCCGCTGCGTCTGCACGAGCTCGCGGCCCTCGGGGAGCTTGGGAACCTGCCTCGCAGGCGGGCCCCTGCCACAGGCAGCGGCAGCCAGGTACAACGCGTCCGTCATGGAAGTGATCGGCGCCGGGTTGCGGTCGGCGCAGCAGGCGCTGCGGCTCCAGCGCTGGAAGCGGTTGTCGAGGCAGGCCGGGCCTAGCCCTTCATAGGCGCACAACCTCCATTCCAGATGTAGCGCCCCCTGGTGCCGAGGGTGAACTCCAGCTCGGTGGCCGAGTGATCGGATTGCGCACTGTCGGTGATATCCTCGAGCGTGGCGCTGACCTCCCAGATGTCGCGAGTGGGTATCAGGGCATAGTCGATCTAGGCTGGCCGGTGCTTGAACCGCAGTGGCAGGCGGGTCCGCTGGCCGCCGCGGTGAACGCGTTCGTCGCCGCCAGGTCGTGCTGCGTGAGTCTCGTCAGAATCTCGGCGCGACGTGTGCGCTGGCCGACTGGGAAGTCCCCAATCCAGCGCCCCTCGTCCGCCTGCGGCGGGGGCAAGGCCGTCTGCGCGTCCGCGCCCGCGATCGGGCGCGCCCCAGGCGGTGCCATCACGATCAGGTCGGAGAGCTCCTCCATAGAGACCTCGTGCTGAGTGAGGGAGTGCCCTGGGAAAAAGGTGACTGCATACTATCCAATAGTCCTCCTTGCGGATGCGAAACAGGCGCGCCGCCGAGCGCCCCCACGGCAGCAAATCTCCTCGTAGCAATAGTCGAGCCCGAGAGCGCACCAGCAGCCCCATCTGCTTTTGCCCCTCGGCCCGCGGTGTGACCAGGCAGAGGTCGCCCTCGCCGACCTCGAGCCCCGTGGTCTTGCCCCGGCAGCCGACCTCCCGGAGGATGGCCACGTCGTAGTCGTGCTGTTCGCGCAGCGTCGCTGCGCAGCCCCCCGCGCATTGCTTCGCAATGCCCTGAACGTTCCAGCTGATGAGCTTGGAACACATCTGATCCTCGGACTCCTCCAAAGTCCGCTCCTTGTCCAGTCATTGGCCCGCGTTGACCTTGGCCTGGAATTCGGCCAGGCTGAGTTGCTCGCCCGTGTGGGCGCTGATGTCGGCCGCGACGAGCTCCTTGAAGCTAGCTCATGGGGCCCGTGGTCCTCACCATCTCGCCGGACCTGCGCTGCTTCCACCAGGTGATGCCTCGAATTCAGCCTAGCTCGAGGTCCGCCGCCTGCACGCGTAGGTTGTCGACCAGTTCCTTCTTTGCACGTGAAATCATCATTGACAACGAATTTCCTCCGAGGGCGTCTCCACAGAGAACCAGAAGCGTCGACCCAGGTGGTGTGGCTGCGGCATAGTTATCTGTTTCCCTTTCACCGAACGTACCCTGGCCCACAGTCGCCCCGAACTGGTAAAGCGGACCTTCAGGAAACTGGCACGCTTGAGATGGACGAATACCCCATCCCCTACTTTGTCGGGGATGGCGTCGGTAAACGCACGAGTTTCGTTCAGGATGGTGCCGCGGGGTGTGTCCCGATCCCAACCGCCAATAGTCAAACCGATCTTGCCGCATGCCCTCTTTGGCCCCGACACGGACGGCTGTGCCGCCGTGCTCTCGACCCCCGAGAAGCGCAATGCATGCCCGACCGAAGAGGCCGCCGTGAATGAGGGCGCTGCCGGACGTCCCTCTCGCAAGTCTTTGATATCCTGCTCCATGTTGTTGAGGCGCCCCTCGTGCCTCTCGGCGTCCCTGCGCACAGTGTCGATGGACGTCTTCACGTCCGCGAAATCTTTCGCCATCGGCTCCTTGATCTCGGAGCGCAGCATCTCTCTGAAGTGCATCATCCTCGTGGGTCCGTCCATGGCTGCTGGCACTGGCACTGGCTCGCGCGAGCGGCTGCGCGAGCCCATCGACTGCTAGCACGATGAGGCAGAGTCGTGAAACCGATGGCAGTTGTGAGCCCCAGCCCATGCCGCCGTTTGAGCCAAAATGGATGATGACGATACTGATGATGATGATGATGCTGATGATGATGAGGATGATGATGATGATGATGGTGATGATGATGATGATGATGATGATGATGATGATGATGATGATGATGATGATGATGATGATCCAGGGCGCTCGTGTAACGAGATCCTCGCACAAAACTGTCCTTGGTGTCCTGGAGTCTCGCGCTTAAGGGTGGCCTGCGCAGGAGAGGTCCTTGGCGCTCCTGGCCAAGGAACCTCTCTTGCGTACCACGTCGAACCATTCGCCCATGCAGGCTCGGCGAGTTTGATGATGTTGCTAGTCAACATGAGAAGATAGCAACTTCGATTCGCAACTTCCCCCCGCGATAATCAAGTTCGGCCTCACCACCCCGCTCCACAATCAAATCTGTCTGACCCGGGGATAATGAAGACTCAGGGGTTCAGGGGGGGTACTCTTTACCATCCGGGGGAAGCGGTTAATGGAGGCAGGAGTGAAAATTGAGGAGCAGGCAGCAGTATGAAGGAGGGATTCCGCTCATGGTGCTGATGAGCACGATGCTGATAAGGATGTTTCTGCTGCTACTGATGACGATGATGATGATGCCGATGATGATAGTGATGATGATGATGCTGATGGCGGTATTGATGACGATGATGATGACGGCGCTGATGATGACAATGACGATGCTTGTGATGATGATGAGGATGGTGTTGGTGATGATGACGACGACGAGGAGGACTACACCCCCATGGAGGCGATACCAACTACCTTGTACATGAAACACTCTGTCTGGAATGCACTGGAAGAGGAGGACGAGGAAGAAACAAGGTAGTAGGAGGTACATATGAAGACGACTGAACAACAACGAGTAGTGCTAGAAGGGACAGAGAGAAAGAGAGAGAGAGAGAGATGAGGAGGAAAAGGCAGGAACTGAAATTAGGAATAAGAGGGAGGAGGGAGGTTCAGTCAGGAGGGAGGGAGGAGGGAGGAGGGATAACGATGGCGAGCCCGACTCACTTCACGCCCAAGCTCCTCCCCGTGCGAAGGTCAAGCCAAAGCTGGCATATCAACAGACTCCCTCCCGCGCTCCCTGCCCGGGGTGCCACCGCAATGATACTGGAGCCGCTGCCACTGGCTGCCACCCTGGGTGCGCCCCGCCTAACATGATTTCGAGGCGAATCGAGGGATGAGCAGCGGTATCTGTACTGTCGACGCGCTTCCATAAGGAACGCCAAGTAAGTAACGAGGGGCTTTCCTGACCACGCCGTGCCTCGGCCACACTGAGTTCCCCGACCTAGATCTGAGGAACGGCCCCGAAACTGGGGCCCCTCCTGAGCCCAGAGTGGTCCGTCTTCCAGCGTCTTGGATGTACCTCTTCCTGGAGGTATCCTCGATGGGGTTGGAGCAGACTGGTGGGGGTCGGAGGATCCCGCCGCATCAACGATGTATCGGCGACGTCAGGATGAACCTGGAGTTAGGTAGGGCATGTCCCCACACAGGCGGATGTTTGACGAACCAATAACATAAACAAGACATATGCAAAAAAACAAACATAGTCTAAACATCGGCCCATACTCTTTTTTGACTATTTTTGAATATTCCTCCTGTAGAGGGACGTGCCCGACTTAAAGCTGGAGAAGAACGGGCTGCATATCGCGCCGCATCGCGCATCGCAAGTGCAGCGGCGATGCGGCGCTATCCGCCGACCCGATCTGCTCTGGTCCTTCACTTGGGAGGCCTGGACTTCTGATGGGCCCATTTTCCACCACCACTGCCATAGATAGAAGAGGGATGATGATGATGCTGATGTGGAGGAGGAGGAGGGCATCCAGGAGGAGGAGGACGAGGAGGAGGACATCCTCACCCTCTCTTTT